AAATTGTTGTTCAACCATGTAAAATAAGCTGTTCTGATCAAAGCATATGAATGTGTGTGTCAAATAGCATTCAAAGACGTCAAGAGTCTTTCTTTGTAAGGCAGATCCAATACATTTCATTCATATTCAAGTAATTACTTAAATGTCCATATTTAGGTAACAATTTTTCATACACAGGCTCTAATAAAATGACACCCGAAAGAGAAAAGAGAGTCCTGGTAGGGGACATGTATTGCTTATGCAATACTCTCAGAATGCTTGTTCATTATATCATCTCGAAATAAGATGTGACATTTCAATTTTAATCGGATTATTCCATTCATTAAAGAATAGTTTTGGGCTTTATTTAGTTAAAATTGGCCAAGAAGAAATAGAAGGTGTAAAAAAAAATTACAGACAAATAGACAGACAGGAATAACAGAGGAATTGTCAACGCAAAACGGGTGATCAGAAAATTTTACTTTGAGCCTTCAGGTCAGGTGAGCTAAAACATCGCATTGCTTCCTCTTTCCATGAATAATTAAAAATTTTTCTACAGCATCCACCATTACTCAAACTTTTATTTAAATTCGTCTTTTGAATATTACAAATCATAAAATGGCATGATTTAATATATAATATAAGATTGTATTCAAGTAACTTTCACTTTAATGGACCTTATAAATGTTTTGACTTATTTCGATTGAAATACATCAGATGTCAAGACTCCTTGTTAGAAGATCTTAATAAAAACCGCAGCCCAACTCTTATTTTTGTGTACAAAAAAGCATATCTTCACTTTTAATTTAATATTTAAACTAAATACAAATGTACAAAAAGTGAAATGTCCATTAAGAATCTAATTTATCTACTGGACTTTTAAAGAGAAAATAAAGGTCATTGATCCATAGGCACTATTTTTATTTCCAACAGGTGGTACATATATGCTTGCATTTTGAAATTCCATGATTAATAGCCAGATTTTGAAAAGCGTTCGGATTAATTTTTTTCCTCTTGTTCAATCAAATACATGATCATGGCTCCGGCTATTAGGATTTGGATATTTTTACTCAGTCTCATCCATATATTAGGTAACAGTTATTTAATTATTTTAAGCAACTCATTTTTTATTCGTGTTAATTTTCCCCGTAAATATTATTTTCATGTTATTACCTTCTTTAAATTAAGGGTAACGTATTCGAGAATCAATTATAAAAATCCACAATTATGGTTTAGTTAATTGTTCAGCATTACAAAAAGATAAAACTTTATAAATTGTTTTTAATATGTGATTAATACTGGAACTGCATATATATGATTTTCTGTTTTAATGATTTCTGAAAAATGGATATTTAACACAAACACTTAATTATTATAATAAGCTCTGTACAAATTGTTTTAAGTATTTTCGGAAATCAATTGTCTTAAATTTTACGTATAGATAATTAAATAATGTTTGCTTCATGAGAAAAAGGATCAATTTTTATTAATATAATGTGATGGGTAGTGCAATTAGTTTCCATTCTTCATTCACTGAATGAATGAAAAAAAATTTAAATCAGGACATTATAAATGTACATCTATACAGCTGTAGATTTAAAAATATAAAACAGGAAGCTTTTTACCCTCATGGTCAAAATAAATCTCAATATTATTATTTCACATTGAAATAGATTAAAATAATGTTTCGAAATCCAAGGCATGTACAGAGAAAAGAGAGGGACAGGGTTCAGGTATTTTAAAATATCTTAAAATTCACGAAGTTAGCGATCAAGAAGTATACAGTTACTTCACGCATTCAGATATTTGTCCTGTACAAGTGTGTGAAGTTCACTTAAGCACACAATTCTCTATTGAAAAGCTATTCATAACTCTTGCTTTCTTAAGGCATTTAAACTCGTGGGCAATGTAAACGAATGTTCCTTAGAAGTGTTTATATTCATTTACCTTTTAATATCAGTATGCATAAAATAAATATTTAATATTACAAAGAAAGAATGAAAATATTCATTAAAATTTAGTCAGAGGTGATGAGAAAGAGAATGACGAATGAAATATTTAAAATTTAAATCTTAATATTCATGTAAAGCTATATATAACTATCTAACATTGTATCAAGATTTTAAAGATTTTTAATCTATTGAAACAAATTCTAAATGGGGTGTGAGTGCAGGATCCCCCTTAAGATTCCCTTCCAGACCATGCATTGACAACTTCCCTGCTAGAATGGTTCAATTCATTTATAACTCTCTATATCTCATTGTTTGAAAATTGGTTTTTTTTCTTTCAGGTAACGATTTAGCATTAGCTGGGTATTATTGTTACTACTCTGGATATAGTGGATACTATTGCTATTACTACTATTCATACAGTGACGTAGGTACCATTGCGGGGGCTATCGTAGGAGGTATAATTTTCACCGTCATCGTTGTTGTCGTTGTCATCATCATCTGCTGTAAGAAGAAGAATAGACCTGGACAGGTCATTCATAATACACCTGCAGTCAACACAGTGACCACAAGTGAGGAACCAAATTATTATAATTTATATCTCTTTTCCTTTAAATCCGAATTTAAACTCTCTGTGGCAGGTATAGAATATTATAGGGAATTTCTTTTTAATACTTCATGGTCAAGTGATATCTATAAGTAAAAAAAAAACACTGTGACCACAAGTAAGGAAGCAAATCATTGTAATCGATTTGGTTTTTTTTTCTAATCGAATTTAAAGCCCCCTAGTGGTTTAAACTGAACATTATATTGAATTTCCTTCTCTTTCTTCGAGGTCACGAAATATAAATTCTGAAAAACGTTCAAAGAAACAATACAATAATTTGAGCCCAAATTAAGAGAATTAGGCCACCTAATGGGACCAATTTTAAGGAAAGTCGTATATCTGAAAAATTCTGAGACGGTTGTTAGGCAAAAATCCACATGAATCAAAAATTAAGCATCAAACATTAAAATTGACCCCATGAAATTTATCTGTTACAGAGGGACTTTTGGAGGAAAATAAGCTTACCTCTGGTTAATGACACATACTTCACAATACAATAGTTAATGATTAATTTTCTATAGTTTCTTATTTTGAAATATGCTAACTGCTTGATGCAGAGGAAAGAAAATGAAGCATATGTTGAAGCATATGGTAACCCCAAAATATTCTATAAATAACCAAACCGTTTTAGTGTTTTTTTTTATTGACCTTTTGAATTATTATTACTCAAAAATATGTTAATATAAAGAAGAAATATCAACTCCTTGTAAATAATTGTTACACCTACCTGAAATGAATTACTTCTTGCAACATTATATGAAAAATATTTTTCTATTAACAGCTCATTACGGACAGCCAGGGTATGGACAGCCACCTCCTAGTTACGGACAGCTACAGTCAGGATTCAATCAGTACAATCAGTATCCACCACCACCTGGTGGTAACCCCGCCTACCCTCCACCACCCCCACCCCAATACTAACCAATGAAAATATCTTCTTATATATAAATGTATTTTTCTCACAAGTGCCATTCAATTACTGGGAAATCACGAATTTTCGAGGTTTTTGAGGTATGAAATGTTAATTATCATAAATATAACTACTTAACGATTCCACCGCGTACATTTTGATTCCTCCAAAATATGTGATTTTACAGTATGGTTATATTTTAAGTTTTAATTATTGGTATGCAAAATATTTTAAACGGATTCGTAGTTCTCTTCGTACTGATGTATATGAGGCTTGAATAATTTTTTTGCAAGAAATATATCATTAATAAATACTCAATAAAGCAAATATACAATCTTTTGTATTGATTTCCACAAAACTTTAATGGTACATTTAGTGATTAATCATAATTAAATTCAGTTGTTTATTCAAGTCAAAATGATGGTGATGTGCTTTTATGTCCACTTTGTAACTTGTTGATACAATAGACTGTATTCATTATTTTTTCAAATAGTATAAATACCATATTTTGAGATCAAAAAAAATATTTTCTCTTTGAATCTTTATTTTCATAAAGGGTTCATTATTCAAATATATAATGTTTTTTAATATATGCTCGTATCATAATACCCGGGGCACACGAAATATGGTTTATTCACTTTAAAAAGATTGCACACAATTAGTTTTGATATGTTTTCAACGCCCATCCCCCACTCAAAAAATATATCGGAATCTTATATTGTATTTCCAGACTACTTAAGCTGATTTCAATAAAATTTAATGAAATTGCAGAAAAATGTATGTGCTTTAAAGGACGAATTTTCTAGTTGAGTTAAGAAGAGTACATGCTTAATTACCAACTGTTATAATGTTTACATGGACTTTGAATTAATTCAAATGGATGATAATTTCATATGAAATTGACAAATACTCTCTTATCGCCATTGTACCATATAGACTTTACGATAAAGAGGCTTCCCTTTTTCCTATATGTGAAACATGCATCATAAATATTGTGCTTAATTTTAAAATATAATAGGCGATCGTTTTGTTTATAGGCCGAAGTCCTAAATGCTCAATTCTATTTTCATGCATACATAATTTCGTACATCTCAATGTAAAACCTCACTTAAGTTGATTTTGAGAATTAGATTCCGTTTCATAACGAGGTTATAATTAGTTATGTACCCCACAATTCGAATTTTTTAGCACAAGAAACAAGATTATTTCTGATTTTACCCCATCATACTATTATTTCAGTGGCTCTACGAACTGCCTTATAAGAGACATCCTGGTATATTTTCCTTTGAATTCCCCTTCGTAACAATTACATAGCAGTCATTGCAAAATTTAAATAAAAAAAAATAGAATAGTTAGTAGCGTTGATTTTTTTCAATTATTCCGGACCTGCGAAGTGTATATTTGATTCTTACAATTTTTTTGTTGCCTAATTTAAAGCAAAAAGAAAGGCGATCAGTGATCCGTTGATTCCATAAATTATTATGCAAATGAATTTTCCACTAGGGGTATATATAACTGGAATTCTACATTCTATATTTAGTTTTTTAAATTGCGTATTTTAAAGCTGAATCTGAAGACCATATTTAAATCTAATTCATAATCATGTCTCAGGTCTCTAAGATTTGGGTATTTTTTCTCAGTCTTTTCAACATTTTAGGTAAGTATTTTATTCTTTTTTTTTAATTGAATTCAAGTGTTTAGTATAATTTAGTATTAATTCATATCTGTCGTTTAACAACACTAGTGATATTTTACATTTACAAAGATCTTCAATATAAAAAATTCCATTAAAGTCTGTGTTAAAATGTTTTCCTTTTCTGTATTAATTAAATTTTAAAATCAAACTTAAGAAAACAAATTTCATTATTTAACAATAGACAAAATTAATTTGTTTTTTGTTATAATATTTGTTCATTTCAAAAACTACATTAGCTTTTTTTCATTTTTTGTCCTTCAACTTATTCGCCACACAGACATTTTGGTCTGCGAAAGATTTTTATTTTTGTTTAGAAATATTAAGATAAATATAATTTAAAATACTTGTCAAATTCATTGATTCAATAAATCTCAATGTCGTTAACAAATATAGAGAACGTCAAATTAACATAATTTCCAAGGCAATAAGAGGCACCCAAGGGGTAATGGGAGATAAAATCGGTATTTTGAAATGTATTTAAAAAAGACCAGGAAGTACAATAGTATAGAGTTACTTCATCTATTCAGGCATTGGTTCTGAAAAAAATATAGATAAACACTTCTTCTGAAGATAAATCGATCAATTGTGACTACCGGTAGTTTTTTTCTTCAAGGACTTTAAATCTTTTGTGTTCCAATATTGTTGCTTATCATGGCGTACAGACCCCTACTAATGTTATTGTGATTTAAATTCAAGACACGTGGTTTAGGTTTTCCTATTTAAAGGTTATATGTTAGAGATTTTATAAATAAAATTTGCATTAAACAGGAAATTGCTTAGTCTGTTTCACGTGAAAACATGTCCTGTGTAAAATATGTTTCCAGACCTTTCCAAAAGACCTTTCATGATTTCTAACAGAAATGGGTGGCTAAAGGGCGGGGGTAAATAAAAATTAATACATCTTATCATAGTTTACTGCAAAAAATACAGCTCAATAGCGACCGCTGGTAAAAAAAAAGTGTAATATCATCTACACTGACAAACCTTTGTTTGCCTTATATGGCTATTGCTATTAATGCGCACAGAGGATCTTACCACGAGCAACTGACCAATTGTTGATTGAATACGTTTTCGCCAAATACATGCTACTTCGAACACGTGGTTCAGGTCAACCTATGATCATGTCAATGGAGTGTAAAATAAAAAAAATGTTCTTATGAACAAAATGCAAACATTAGAAACTATGAAAGATATCACGGGCGTTTTTAATTTGTTGTTAACTTGAGAAAATTATGTTTTATAAAATGTATGTATTACGTAGTTAGTGTCATGTTCAGAACACCAGCATTTCAAGGGTAAGGAAAAAGGAGCAGCTTCTCGTATGCAATTAAATGGACAAATAAGTTTTTACTTAACTATACCTGTGATCACATGTGTTGGCCAGGGAATCTACTTGACAATTGTATTCATCGATAGTACAATAAAGGAATTTATCAAGCGTAAAATTAATTCCTGTAGTATTCATAGTAACCCATAATGAAATTCTCATTCAGCTGATTTGTCAGTTAAAGTCACATTGGTGCCTCATGTGCTATTCTGACGCCAAAAAATATAATCCCGTTTTCCATGTATTTAATTCATGACAGCAGAAACTTGTATCATAGAGAATACTTATAATTTAAACTTGAATGAATTCAAGAGAGATTTGTTGAAGTACATTTCTACAGAATTATATTATAGGGTGGTGAAAACTAAAACGCAGCATAACTTTTCTGTTTACCATGTCTCCACGTGCTAGTCACTTTCTAGCCACATTAATGTAATGTCTAGCAAAGTCTCGCTAACTCTCGCCAGAGCCACTGTCAGAGCTACTCTGAAGTCACCGGGTTTTATAATTTGCAGAACACCGAAAAAGAAAAGGTTCCGAAAACATTAGTAGGGGTGTTACATGTACGTATGCGATTTGATCGATTTCAAGAACGTATAGCATGTAGAAAGCATATTTATAAAGACTTTACTAATAGCCTGTAATGTCTATGTGTGGGTATTATTTGTTCTATTAGAAAGTGCATGGATGTCTTACAACGCGCACCAATTCATTGACAAATTTAAACTTGCGACAATTTAATGTAAATGGAACAATTGTCCACGTATTTTTTATTTGAATAACCTACTGTATATACGAGAGAAAATTTTCTATAAGTTTTGCTGCCGGGGGAATAACCTGTTATAAAATGCTTCAATGATCAAATTTTGCTTTTCTTGTTGCAAAAAAAGTCTGTCTCCCTCTACTTTCACTGAAATGGCATAGACTACTCAAGAAAAATTGAAAATTATAAATAAACTTATAAATGAACAACATAAAAGAAATAATTAACTAGCAATTAATTTTATAATCAATCAATATTTGAATATCGGTCTTGCCAGATCCTGAAAAGTCTTCCTTGTAGAAATAAAGAAAATATCTTTCAGATCCATTAAAAACACCCAGAACAGTTAATGTACATTTATGGGTAGTTTTAAGAATGGTGACGTATTTATACGTTTTCATTGTTAATTTCTTTAACATATTAGGCTGACACAAGACTTCTTCTGGAATAACAAAATTAAAACAACAGTAAAGCAATCATTTAATTAAATGATAGAATTGTAACTCAGGGCTCTCTCCTCTCCTCGATCGGAGGGTCCGTCGCTTGTCTGAATACTTTAACATAAATTCAATCAAACTAAATCCCACACCACTTCGTTTAGTCTACTCTGTTATTTTGAACACGTACAACCGTCCTTAGAAACTTCTTGAAATGTCCGTTTCTATTCTATTTCAGGATACCATTTTGCATCAGCAGCATATTACTGCAATTACTACTACAGCTACTGCTATTATTACTACTACTACTACTATTACTATTCCTCCTACAGTAGCGCCGGGACCATCGCTGGAGCTGTTGTGGGTAGCATTGTTTTCCCAGCTTATCGTAGCGGTTGTCATTATAATTATATGTTGTAAGAAAAAGAACCGGCCAGGAATGATCATTCAACACCCCTGCAGTTCACACTGTGACTACAGGTAACTATATTATTGTACCGAATCCTTTTTTTTTCTTTGAGATGTGAAATTAAGGTGGCTTGTATTTAATATGGTGTACATTTCTTAGCATTTATTATAATCGATGGCTACAAAAGCTAAAATGATAATTAGTTTAGTTTAAGTTTAGTTTAGTTTAAGAAGTATTTTATTCATAATATACAAAATAATAATTAATCAGTAAGCACAAAATAAAATGTATGAAATTCCTTGCCACATATTAATATACAAATTTATAGCATGTTCTAAACATGTAACAGATAATAGGATAAAAAAAAATAGCGGCTGACGTGGAAATAATTCTAGTTTGACAGAGCTTTAAAACTGCTTGATAACGAAAAACTTTTTGTAAGAACTGCAATTATTTTAACTTTTTTTTCAAAACTTACCAAATTTTACGAAATCGAGGGGTTTTAGAGAACGTCCTTTAAGTTCTCAAAATGATGAAAAGAATTCATTAAACTCCTCTGTACCTGAAATAAAATATTTTGATTACAATGTTTTTTGTTCTATATAATATTAAACGCAATTTATGATAGCTTTCGGAGCAAATCGGGTTTACTCCTGATGAATGTCAATTAATTAAGGTTTATAAACCATCTGTTCACTCATGTAAAATGTTGATTTAACCTTAATGATTTTCCAAAAGAAATGTATTTTAAAAGTAAAATACAATTATAGCATAGCTTGCGGAACAAAAATGCACAAAAAATACACTTCTCTAGGTAAATCTATAAACAAATATTAAAATACATTTATTTCATTTTGAGTTATCTCTCTTATCAGATTATCAATGAACCTTAAGCTACAATACAATAGTTAATGATTAGTTTTTGTCTCTGTAATATGCTAACTGCTCAATGCGAAGAAAGAAATGCGTATGCCAAACCAATTTAACCACCACCTGGTGGTAACCCCCGCCTACCCCTCCACCCCAATACTAACCAATGAAAATGTATTCTTATATATTGCTCAAATATGCCATTTACTTACTGGGAAATCAATGAATTTCGTAGAGTTAAATTTTCTTGGTTATCGAGGTATGAAGAGACCCTCGCATTTAAGTCCACCATGCAATGTGATTTTTCATAGATATTACTCCTTAACAATTCTCCATCCAAAATTACCATATTTCCCCCCAAAAACCACGAACATTTGACCCCACCAAAATATATGATTTTACCTGATTGTAATATTTTCATTGGGTAGACTTTACTTTACCTGTCCCCAGATCCGCAAGATCCTCGCGCTCATTGGACTATGACGTAACAACTACGTCACTCAACTGAAATGGGTTAAATTTGCACACTATTCGACTGATTATGGTTAGTATTGCACCCACCTGAGAGATTAGGGTTAGTCCTTGCACTAGTATTCGACTGATTAGGGTTAGTCTCGCGTCCATCAAAGAGATTAGGGCTAGTCCTCGCACATTATTCGACTGATTAGGGTTAGTTTAGCATCTGCCCGGGAGATTTCGTCTGAACGTCTTAGTCCTTGCATACCATCCGATGGATTAGGGTTAGTGAATCGTTCTTTTAGTAAAGTTAAGAAATTCAGTTGTTTCTTAATTTTTCCAAGATCATAATTCAGATTCATAGGCATTTCATTCGTTTATTTATATGGAAGATTGGCTAAAGAAATGACACTAAGCACGCGCCGCACGCGCTTCGTTTAGAATTATTCTTTGTCGATTTTTTCCATGAATAAACAATATTTATTAATTTTTTTCAGAGAACGAGGTTAAAAACTTTGTTTAAAGTTTTAAACTAAACTTTTAACCGTAGAATTCAATTTTGGGGTCAAAAGGCCAAAAAACCTCGTATTTAAATTTTTTTTCGATCGCTCATGCGATCTCATATATACTGAATTCGCCTTCGGCGACAGTACATTTTAGTGCGTTTTTCTGGGGACCGGTAAGGTAAAGTCGTTCCTTTTCATTTTTTAATCATTGGTATGCAGATCTTTTTAAATGGATGGTGTCTTTTGTACTGATGTATATAAGCTTGAATATTTCTTTTTGAGAATTATCATAAATATTCAATAAAGGACAACCTATTTTTTTGTAATGTTTCCTGCAAACCTTGAATTAAGTTTAGTGAATAATCATTACAGAATTTAGTTGTTTATACAACGGCAAATGATAATAATATGTTTTTATGTACAGTTCATGACTTTTTGATGATACAGACATTATTCAAAATTTTTTTGAATTTTATGAATGCCACCTTGGTAAAGAAAGGGGATAAATGAATAAAAAATATTTTTTGTTTGAGTCTTAGTCATTTAGAGTTCATTATTTAACTATATCAATTTTTTTTAAATTTATGCTTTTAAAATAATGCACGACATAAGGTTTTTTCACTTTGAAAGATGACACACATTCAATTTTGATATTTTAACAACACTCAACCCCAGCGAAAAATATATGATGGAATCCTAGGTTTTCATTCCAAACAAGTTTCTCTAGAGCACGTTAGCTGATTCAATAAAATTGCAGAAAATACATGTGTTCATGAAAAGGACGAATTCTCCAGCTGAGTAAACAAGAATACACATGCTAAATTACCAACTGTTATGCTGTCATGGACCTTAATTGAGTCCACTCAAATTGGCGATACTTTTACATATTTAATTGACAAAAACTCTCTTGCCGTCATGGTCCGATATAGACTTTACGATAATGAGGTTTAACTTTTTTCCTACGTGAACATATACCATATTGTGATTTATTTGAAAATGTGACAGGCGATCGTTTTGTTTATAAGCCGAAGCCTTCAATGCTCATATTTATTTCTATGCCTACATAATCTCGACCATCATAATGTAAAATTGAGAATTTAAGTCCATTTAATAACGAGGTTATTCTTTGTGTGATCATTCAACATTTAAATATTTGTATTGACATGTTCAAGTTGAAGTTCATTTACTCACTCAGACCAACGTCTACTACTGAATCGACGACGGATTTTCTCGTTATTTCCCGATCATAACAAGGAGTGTAACCGGTTGGTAGGGAATGCACACTCCTCCATGGCACCTGATCCCACCTCTGATGTTTTGGTGATTTGTGTTTGTTCTGCTCCTGTTTTGTATTGTTTTATAGACTTTGATATGGAATACTGTTCGTTATCTCCATATCCTTCATTGCTTATTCTTTTCATTCATGTATAAACGGTAATGTTTATCAATGACACATTATATAAAAGTCAGTATATGAAAACGATTGCTCAAAGCTCAAAAAATTTAAGATATTCATTCAATAGGGATGTACTAAGTATGTAATGGAGTAATAAAAAAGATATTTCTTTTGCCAGATAATATTAAAAAGCGTTTTTACATTAAAAATTTATGCCAAAAATATGTGTTTAATTGTGTGTGACGACTGGAATATTGAGCAGGATCAGAAAAAGGACATTAAAATGATACAAATTAAAAAAAATCAACATGCACAAATAACATATTTAGAACGTAATATCAGTAGGTCGAGGAGAGTGAGTGTCCCAATATTAATCATATATCACTTTCAAAAGGAATATTGAAAGGCGATTCTCCATCTTTCGCCACTCTTAGTCAAACCATCGTCATGAAGTTATGTTTGAAAAAGGATATTCGAGCTAAAAAAAAAATTATTGCGTTCAAAACTTTTTCAAGTAAATCGATTTTTTTCCCTGACTGCCCTTTCTTCCCTTTCCAAAACGATACAGAATATTTAAGTGTTGTTAAAGGTTGTTGATTTTTTGAGGATTTGCGAGCAAGAAAGAAGGAGGTATAGTGATATGAAAAAAAAATGAATGAATCAATGTGAATTCGATTATTTCATGTTTTCTCAGTTTATATTTAACATTTTCACTAAATTAATCCACGCTTTATCAAAAGACTTTCTTCTGGAATTATAAAATTAAACAAACAGTAAAGCAACAGTAAATTAAATGAATTATAATGGGGGCCTCTCTCTGCCATTGGAAGGTTCATCGTTTGTCTGAATCCTGGTCGCGACTGTTCCTTCGTCACTAAAAAATAGGTATCAGCTGTTCTTTTGTCATGTGCACAGAACTTTATGGTGAAAGTTTTGGGTCATTTGGAATGGGACCTTCAAAATCGTGGCCCCGTGACATGGCGTTTGCACTATAAAGACCCATCGTTGCTAAGATAACCACGAGTGCATGGGAATGGTCTAAATTAGAATTTGAAGTCTAACACTGATTATTGGTGACGTCTCTATATCAGTGAAAAAATCTCTGACCAGATATGAACACAAATTAAATCGAAATTGTAATGCAAGATAACAAGATATAATTGAGAGAGAGAGAGGGGGGATTGGAATTCTATGTCTATTAGATTTTGAAAAGGCATATAAAGCCATGGAAATTCAAAACACTTCATTTATTTAGATTAAGTGGCTCATTTAATACAAAGTAAACATAATTCCAAACTTGATTTTTGGCCTTGCCAGATCCTACAAAGTCTTCCTGGTAGAAATAAAGAAAATATTTTTTTTTTTACAGATTCATTAAAAAAAACAGAACAGTCAATGTACATTAATGGGGAGCTTTGAGAATGGTGACTTATTTATAATTTTCTTTTTTTGCCTGAGGAGCCGAGCGAGACTCTAACTGATTCTTTTACTCTATCTGTTTGTCCGTTTGTGTGTTTGTCCATCTGTCCGTCTACAAACTAACTATAAAGGATTCATCCAAATTTTCAACATCGTATGTTTGAGAGCATGAGTTATAATTGTTATATATCTCTGTACCTGAGGGCTATAGATTTAGTACTGCTGGTATTTTTGAGCACCTTTCAACTGATCAACAATTAGGATCAAACAAGTAAATCTTAATTAACTTGCTCCAGATAAAAGAATCGTCAATTACCTGGTTACTCTAACGAGGCGCATATTTCAAATTATACCCTTTTTCCAAGTCTTTTACCCTTTCTTCTCTTTATTAGCATCGAATAATAAATCGAATTTAATACACTGT